CCCCCAAGCCCCCCCCCAAAAAAAAAAAAAAAAACAACAACAACAAAGAAAAGCCCAGAAGCCAGGCATGGTGGTTCATGCCTATAATCCCAGCACTTGGGAGGCTGAGGCAGGAGGATCTGAGACCAGCCTGAGCTACATAGCGAGTTCCAGGTCAGTCTCAACTAGTGAGACCCTGTCTCAAAAAAGAAAAGAAAAGCCCAGGTCCTGATGGCTTCACTGCTGAATTCTTTTTTTTTCTCATTGAATTTATTGATACATTTTAGGCATACAGTACAGTTACATTCATCATTGGGATCTTGTACCTTTACATGACAGGTCTTGGTTCTCATTTTTCCCCTTGTCCCTGCCCTCCCTTCACCCCCTCCTCCCTTCACTGCTGAATTATACAAGACATTTAGAGAAGTACTACTGCCACTACTCTTTAAACTTTTCAATGAAATGGAAAGGGACGCAATACTTCCAAATTCATTCCTGGAAGCAAGTGTGACTTTGATTCCAAAACCAGGGAAAGACCCAACCAAAAAGGAGAACTACAGGCCAATCTCCCTAATGAACATAGATGCAAAAATCCTCCATAAAATACTGGCAAACAGAATACAGAGGATCATCAAGAAGATCATACACCCTGACCAAATCAGGTTGTATCCCAGGAATGAAAGGATGGCTCAACATACATAAATCAATAAATGTAATACACTATATTAACAAAGTCAAGGACAAAAACCATATAATCATCTTAATACATGCAGAAAAAGCATTTGACAAAATTCAACACCCATTCAAGATAAAAACCCTGCAGAAAATTGGAATAGATGGTCTTTATCTCAACTTTATAAAGGCTATCTACGAAAAACTAACAGCCAACAGCATACTAAATGGTCAAAAACTGAAAACCTTCATGCTAAAACCAGGAACAAGACAAGGATGCCCACTATCACCACTCCTGGTCAATGTAGTTCTGGAAACATTAGCCACAGCAATGAGACAAGAGAAAGAAATAAAAGGAATAAAGATAGGAAAGGAAGAAAAACTGTCATTATTTCCTGATGATGTGATACTCCACATAGAAGACTGCAAAAACTCTGCCAAAAGACTTACAGACTTAATTCAGCAGAGTAGCTGGATACAAGTTCAACACTCAAAAATTAATAGCCTTCTTGTACACAAATAACAGACACACAGAGAGAAATTAGGGAAACAATTTCTTTCACAATAGCATCCAAAAAAATGAAATATCTAGGAATTAATCTAACAAAGGAAGCAAAAGACCTCTACAAGGAAAACTATAGCACTCTGAAAAAAAGAGATCAAAAGGATATAAGAAAAAAGAAAGATATCCCTTGCTCTTGGGTAGGAATAACCAATATAGTGAAAATGCCATACTTCCAAAATTGCTGTACAGGTTTAATGCAATCCCCATTGAAATCCCAAGAGTATATTTCATAGAACTAAAGAAAACAATCCAAAAATTCATTTGGAACATGAAAAGACCTAAAATAGCAAAAGCCATTCTAGGCAACAGAGACATAACAGCGGATATCAAAATCCCCAACCAGAAACTATACTACAAAGCCACTGTGATGAAAACAGCATGGTACTGGCAAGGAAACAGACCCCAGTATCAGTGGAATAGATTAGAAGATGCAGAAATGACTCCAGACATACTAAGCTACCTCATCTTTGACAAAGGAGCCAACCATCCTCAGTGAAAGAAAGATAGCCTCTTCAATAAATTATGTTGGAAAAACTGGATTTCAACCTGCCAGAGATTAAAACTAGACCCCTATCTTCCATCATGCACTAAACTAAAATCCAAATGGGTTAAATATCTAACTATTAAAACAGAAACATTAAATTTTCTGGAAGATAAGTTAGGCAGAACTCTCAAAGACATTGGCATAGGAAAAGACTTTATGAACAAATCCTCAGTAGCATGGGAACTAGCACAAAGAATCAACAGCTGGGATCTCATCTTATTAAAAAGCTACTGCATTGCAAGAGAAATCACAAGCAGAGCTAAGAGACAACGTACAATGTGGAAAAAAAATTTTTACCAGCTGTTCCTCAGACAAAGGTCTACAATCTAGAATATATAAAGAACTAAAACAAAATCAGACTCCCCACATATAAAGACCTGATTCAAAAATGGGCATCTGAGATGAACAGACATTTCTCAGACAAACAAGTAAAAGCAGCAAATAAATATATGAAAAAATGTTCAACATCACTGGTCATTTGAGAGATGCAGATGAAAACAACACTGAGATTCCATCTCATCCCAGAAAGAATGGCTGCTATCAAGAAATCAACCAATAACAAATGCTTGCAGGGAGAAAGGAACCCTTCTCCATTGCTGGTGGGAGTTCAGACTGGTACAAGCACTGTGGAACTTGATATGGAGATACCTCAAAAAACTAGGATTAGAGGTCTCTTTTTTTTTTTTTTTTTTGGTACCGGAGATTGAACTCGGGTCCTTGCACTTGCAAGGCAGGCCACAGAACCACTGAGCTAAATCCCCAGCCCCTAGAGGTCTCTTTTGACCCAGCAATCCCTCTGCTGGGTATCTTTCCAAAAGAATTAAAAGAATCATACCACAGTGATATATGCACACCCATGTTTACAGCAGCACAGTTTGCAATTTCTAAAATTTGGAGACAGCCCAGTAGAGACTGGATAAAGAAGATGTTGTTTTTCTATAGAATGGAGTACTACTCAGCCATAAAGAATGAGAAACTACACACATTTATAGCTAAATGGATGCATATTGAGGCCATACTCTTAAGTGAAGTAAGACACATGTAAAAACCAAATAGTTTATCTGATGTGAAAAACTAAAAGTGTAAATAAGGTTCAAATTATATAACTGATAATGTGAAAGAGGAAGAAAATGGCTAAAGGAGTAGGGGAAGTGGGAAGGTTAAAGGAAAGAAGGGAAAAGAAAAAATATGAGAAAAGGAAAAAATGGAAACAAAGTCTTTGTAAGTAGGGAAGGTTGGAAGGGGTGAAAGGAGGGAAGAGAATGGGGGAAAAATAACAACCAAGATACATCATGTAAGGTACAAGATCCCAATGACGAATGTAACTGTACCGTATATTTAAAATGTACCAATAAACTTAATGAAAAAAAAACCTCCCTGGTTATTCTAAAGTGCAGCGAAGTTTGGGAACCACTTGGCTAACAGCTAGTCTAGGGATCTAGGAGCAGAGAGCAGAGGTTAGGACAGAAGACAGGGACAGGCGGGTGAGATGGGTGGACAGGAGGACCTGGGCGGAGGGCACAGCACATGTACGGGAAGAGGACAGTGCACTGCTCAGCAAGTATCGAACATGTCTGGTGACAGAAGGAGGCGCAGGAGTAGAGGTGATGCAAAGGACAGGACCTTCGTGAGCGTCATGGGGCGTGTGGAGGTGGTTCGTGGAAGCCCTCAGGGGAACAACAGCAAGGAAGATGCATGAGGACACTCGATTTGGGAAGATCATTGGGAACAAGGAGGTGAATGGCCCACAGGTGAGGTGACCGACCATTCACACACTTGCTCTTTCATTCATGTCTCCCGCAGGTGGCCATGGGCTCTGTGAGGCCAGGATCCTCGCAAAAGGAGGAAGCCAAGAAGAGCTATGCCAGTGATTCCCTACCTTGTCCACATGTTAGCATCACCTGGGGAGTTTCACAAAAACACTGCTGCCAACCCTGTCCACCAGTGATGGGGACAACTTGACTGGCTGGTTGCCACGGGATCAAGTGAGATTCAATTCACCTGCATAAGAATCTCACCCATGCTAGTGAATTTCAAAAGGGAACAAATCTCTGGCCCCAGGTAAAGGAAGGAATGGATCATTCGCTTTCTTACCTGGAAGCTGAGATTGTCACTGAGTGGCAAAAATCTAGGATGTTGTGTGGTGGGTGCCTGACCTGGTGATGGCAGGACAGGTGTGGCCTCCAGTCCAGCTCAGGGGACCATTAATTGAGCATCCACTATGTTCTGGACAGAAACTTTCACAACACCACCTTTTCTTCCTCAAGACCATTTTACAAATGCAGAAACGGAGAGGAGACTGGGGCGCAGGTAAGAAATCGCCCAAGGGTGCCTATCTGGTTAATTCCAAAGCAGGTAGTCATCTGCCAGACGTCCTTTCCCACTCTCCTGGGGGAGCTCAGAGCTAATGGAACTCCCCTAACCCTTCCTGAGGTCCTCCTGTGTTTTACCTCTCCTTCTCTTCCCAAGAGGGTTTGGGATGCCGGACACCACACTAGGGTCCCGAGAGAAGAGTGAGGGCCGAGGCTGGGCGGTGGGGCCCGGGAGAGGGAGTTTCTGGGCGTGGCCGCGGGGGCTGCAGTGGGCGGCGGGGCGTGTCCG